CGAACTTTGTGACACTTGTTTCCCTCTGGCTCTCGTAAAATTCTTGAAGCTCATCAAACCGCCCCGTCAAATATCGCGTCTCTCTTAGAAGTACGAACTGTTAAACGAGATGGAATCTCTTAGTGCGTCTGAGAACACCCGATTTCTGTTCAAACTGATCCGTGCTAGTAGCTCGCCAAAATAGTGAGTTAGTGAACCAATTTTCGAATTAGACGACGCACCAATATAAAGTGTTCGCCGACTCTTGGAACGCTGGAAAGAGCACTTCATATTACAGTTCGATCAGCTTTCTCAGCTGGTCACTCCAAGAAGTTAGCAAAATGTCCCTGATCCCTATCCCGTTGCAGCCGTTCAATGTTCTCGCTATTTTACTCCATCTGTCTTTCTTTTTCGCAAACAGTTGTCTGCCTGTTTTGGATAGTGACCTGCCACATGACGTGTGAGCGTAAGAGCAAGTGTATTTCTGACTTGAAATTAAGCCGAACAAATCACCTACATCTTACAGTGACCATTAGTTGTTTCACACTCAGTTTTGAATTATTAGCTTCCATACATACTTAACAGTAAACCAACTCAGAAATTCCATGGTTGCTCTTGTTACGTTCGTATTCGTTAATCTGCAAAAGATGACCGGCAGTATCACGGAATTTCGGCAAAATACCAAGTTGGAACCCCGCCACCCAGCTTTGATGGTGGACAGATTTGCTGTTGTCCGGTTCAGTACTACGTCTATCCTAGTGGAGCTGTATGTAGTTTGCTACTCCAAATTGCGGGGCTTAGGTTGCCGGTTTCCATCACAAAATAGCAGGTCTTCGTCACCATGGGATTCACCCCGATCGCTGTTCATCAAGCAAAAATGTGTGTAAAGGTTATTCTATTATCTCGTACAATCTATTACCTGTTAACAGCTCTTCGTGGTTTTAAGAGTGTCTCGTCCAAACTAAACGAAATAATCACGAAGAATAGAGGTCTTCAACCAATCGCATGTGCTTGTTGTTCTTGATTGTAAGTCTTGCTTCATGCACCGCTCTGCTCTCAATTTCTTTTGCTACGATTTCACTGCGCTCACACTCCTTTCCAATTTTCCCCTTTAGTGCTTCGATCATATGTTATGAATTTCAAACCGTTTCTCTTCCAATTTTATCCCCTGACGATAGCCCATGGGCCACGTAGGCTCTTCAGACCCATCCGGTACTGGTCAGGTGTCATCCCAAGCTAAATCCGCTATCGCCGCCGGCGCAGCTGCTGCGGCCGGTATGAAACGATTCAAATGGCATCTGGGTATCCGATCACAATCACGACCATGGGACATAATGCACGAAGTGTTCAAGGCTATGCACACATTGGGCTACGAATGGAAAGTAATCAATCCCTTCAATGTGCGTGTACGTAAATGGAATCCGGTGTTGCAACATCACTCCAAATTGGTACTACAACTTTATCAAGTGAGTTGTCTATATCCTCGTTGGCCCAAAAACACACGTTGTGGTGCTGAAAAGTGAAGTCATAGAGTGTGCACTGGAACTGGCATGCTTGAATTAGTGTTACATCTGAATACAAGGAGGTGATTCTGCTTCGATAAGAGACAAACTCACTACGTGTAAATGAGCTGGTAGTCTATGCGCGAATTTCAGCAAACTGAATCGATTTATCTAGGTAGTTCTAATCAAGTGATCCAATTTACTTTCATCAATACTGTGTCTTACTACTAGAAATTACACAAGATAGATGGCTTACTTCCTTAATCAATGAAAAATTGTGCTGGTTTTGGACGTCCTTGCAGAGGATAAATTCTCAGTTAACAACAGCAAATGAAACTTAGTCGTTGAAAAATTACATTTTCGCCAGGTGACGTCCGATTTCAGGTATTGTCTTATTATTATTATTATTATATTTCACACTTGTCTGAGGACAGACTGTGTGCCAAACAAATCATGGTACAATAATATTTATAAAAAGAAAAATGTTCCATGATTGGCTTGTGGG